GATTTGCAAAAGAACCATTGCCATATCCGAGAAGTACACTTACAGTGCTGTCATCATAATTAGCGACGACGATATCTAGTTGAGTATCATTGTTGAAATCACCAACAGCTACAGCATATGGTCTCATCCCAGTTGAATACGTCAGTTGATTTGTAAAATTACCAGGATCAAATGCAACAAATATATCTATATTATCATTATTATCATAAGCGACAATAATTTCCGATTGTCCATCATTGTTGAAATCACCAGTAGTAACAACTACAGGAGCGAAAGACAAGCTAGATCCATCAGTTACTTGACGTGTAAATGTTCCCTTTCCATTTCCAACAAACATATCAATGTTTTTGCTACCATAATTAGCTATAGCAAAATCCTTATAACCATCTTTATTGAAATCACCTCTGGCAAGTGAATCTGGATTTGAGCCTGTTGAAAAGGTTTTCTGTTCTAAAAATGATCCATTGCCATTTCCAAGAAGTACCCCAATATCATTAGTGCCATAATTAACGACGACAAGATCTAACATCGTATCGTTGTTAAAATCATCGACAGCAACATATCGTAGACGAGAACCACCACCAGATGCAAATGTTATTTCGTTTCCTAAAGATCCTTTGCTATAATGCAGCAATACACTTACAGTGTTGTCACGATAATTAGCAACGACGATATCTAGTCGAGTGTCATTGTTGAAATCACCAACAGCTAAAGACACTGGATTAATGCCAGTTGAATATTCAACTTTGTTTGCAAAAGAACCATTGCCATATCCGAGAAGTACACTTATACTATTGTCCCATGAATTAGCAACGACTATATCCAGTCGAGTGTCATTGTTGAAATCACCAAGAGCTACAGAAAATGGATAAAAACCAGTTGAATAAGTAATTTGATCTGCAAAAGAACCATTACCATATCCGAGAAGTACGCTCACAGTGTTGTCATCCGAATTAGTAACAACGATATCCACTAGAGTATCATTGTTGAAATCACCAACAGCTACAGAAGATGGTCCAGAGCCAGTTGAATAAGTCATTTGATCTGCAAACGAACCATTACCATATCCGAGAAGTACACTTACAGTGTTGCCGAACTGATTAGCAACGACGATATCCAGTCGAGTGTCATTGTTGAAATCACCAACAGCTACAGAAGATGGGTGAGAGCCAGTTGAATATGTAGTTTGATTTGCAAAAGAACCATTGCCATATCCGAGAAGTACACTCACAGTGTTGTTCCCCCAATTAGCAACGACGATATCCAGTCGAGTGTCATTGTTGAAATCACCAACAGCTACAGAAGATGGATAACCACCAGTTGAATAGGTAGTTTGATTTGCAAACGAACCATTGCCATATCCGAGAAGTACACTTACAGTGTTGTCTAAATAATTAGCAACGACGAT